GTTTGGGATATGGGATCTGATGTCTGTGCATTTAAAAATGCTTTTTGCTTTCCGTTGTAACTAAGTTCTAGGCCCATGATGGAGTTTCCCTATGAGTATTACTTGTGACTTCCATCTAGTCATTATGCTTGCAACAGGAACATTGTGGTGATAATCAAAGTTCTTTCTCTTTTCTTTTTTTTTTAACCTGGTATTGGTTAATTTTTGTGTCCTGGTTTATACTTTAGGGGTGAGATTTCCCAAGTAGTCTCTGCCTGGTTTCTTTATCACTACTTGGGTGGTGGCAGCGGAGTTTTATCCCCAAAATCTAGGTTGTTAAGATTTTGGGGGGAAGGTTTTTACCAAAGCCTGGAAAGATAAGGTTTTGGGGTACATGTGCAGGCCCTCACTTCTGCATTTATCATGCCAGATAAATATTTACTTCCTCCGCCGCTGCCTCTGATGCTTCCTGCCGCGGATGTGTTTTGTGTTGGCAGATCGAGGGCACCCAGAAACTGTTGAACAAGGACCTGGGCGAGCTAATCAACAAGATGCGCATGGCGCAGCAGAACGCCGTCACCTCGCTGAGCGAGGAGTGCAAGCGCCAGATGCTGACGGCCTCCCACACCCTGGCGGTGGATGCCAAGAACCTGCTGGATGCTGTGGATCAGGCAAAGATCCAAGCCAACCTGGTGAAGCTCTCTCTGGAGTGAGAAAGACAAACTGCTGGTGGCAGCGGGAGAGGAATCGGCTCCGGAAGGCCCGGCTTTCAATATCTCTTCCAGCCTCGATGTTCCGCCCTCCCTCCCCGCAATCGCTCATGTCTTATATATTGTTGTGTCCGTCTTCTGAAAACAGGGCGGAGGCTGGTCTGGCTCCTCCCCTTTACAGGGCATGCTTGTGGGGAACTCGCTGTCTTCCTGTGTCCCATAGAACATGCTGCTGGGGCTGATTCTATACACACAGGACACTGGAGGGGTGTGCAGCATGGGGGTAGGGTGGGGATAGACAAGCAGAAACACTCACCCACCTGCTAGGTCCCAGTCTTGCCAGGGAGCTTTCATATCAATTCTGCTTCCAAAGCGCCCTCTGAGCTGCCAGGAGCCTGCCGAATTTCACAGGTGCAGGCAGCTTTGGGAGACATTTTTTGCCTTGTTACATTTGCAGGCATTGGGAAACTAGGGTGTTTGGACGTTGCTGGCAGAGACCCGGGCATTAGATGAGATGCCCAGGGCTCTGGAAATGTTCCACTGGGCCACGAAGAGACTGTTTATTTTTTTTGTATATTGTATAGAAGAGTTTATTTAATGACCGTGTGTGATCTGTGTGCATCTCTGGAACCAATCCGCTCCCAGCCCTCCTCATCTGCAGCTGGAATGCACCGATCCCAGAGCATGGACTGCGCCGAATGGGGATTTTGATCCTGAGAATTGTCGCCTTGGTTCTGACGTTGAAAACCACAAACCGGCCCCGACGACGGTATTTCTGGTCTTTGCTTCTCTGTAAGATTCTGTGTGGAGAAAAAAAAAAACAAAAAAACCAACAAAGCAACAACAAAAATCTTTCTATTTGGTTTGTGGTTGAATTCAAAATTGTATGGTTTGGCCGTGGCCAGTAAGTCCCATGCAGCTGTTTGTTCTGGTTGAGATAAATGATGTACAAAGTTTGATTGTGCCTTTGCTTTTCTGTGGTGTGTGAGTCGGGGACTCTACAGAGCTGTGTTTGGGGGTGGGGGGTGACCACAGGATCCCTTGTGCCCGCCCCCCCCTTCTTCTCACATGGCCCTTTGTGTCTGTGAAAGCTCCCGGCGTGCTAGACGCAAGGTCAGGGGTTTTCTTTGAGGGCAGGCATCCAAGGCCCTGGAGGCTCACGGTTGTTTGAATCTCTAGGCGTCTCCCGTAGACTAGGCTTGCTTGCAGTGTTGCTCTTGCTCCGGCTGGCTACGCTGTGTGAGGACAGGCTCTGCTGGACCTTGAAGTCCAAGGGCTCGTGAAAACGGAGACAAAACCGGTTCTGTTTGTCTCTGCGGGCTACGGGGGAGGCGGGTTACAGCCGTTGCGGGGTTTGCTTCTTGTAGTGACATCAGTGGTGCAAAACATTCTGATTGATACACCCTTCCCATTCACACACACGTCTCTCTCTAGCCATTCACACACTCCCATAAGCTCCTCCCCTTGCAAAGCTACACCGAGATGCACATCGAAAGCCATACGCACTAGGGATGTAAGCAAGTAGTCGGGTTGCGTACTCGACTACTCACTTCTCACCTGCCTTGCTGCCTCTGTATCAGAGGCAGCGGGTGGGAGGGGGGCAGGAACAGGAGCCAGTGCTGGGGGGAGCTGGCTTAAAAGCTGGTTCCCCCCAGCACCATCTCCGTGGTGCCGCCTCCTCACCACTGCTGCTCTATCAGAAGCAGCAGTGGTTGGGGGGGGGGCTTCCGTGAACGGGGGCTGCTGGACCCGGTGCGAGCTGGGACCAAGCAGTCCCAGCTCGTGCCGGTCTGGGACGCTGCGACTCTACATTTTAAATATAGTAAGAGCCGTCTGGCTCTGATTACATTTGAAACACAGAGGTTCAGTGGTCCCGGACTGATGTGAGCCAGGACTGCTTGGTCCCATCTTGCGCTGGGTCCGTGAGCTACTCCCACTGCAGCTCTGCATTTTCTGGGTGTCTGGCTGGTGAGTCTTGCCCACATGCTCCGGGTTTAGCTGATCGCCATATTTGGGGTCAGGAAGGAATTTTCCTCCAGGGTAGATTGGCAGAGGCCCTGGAGGTTTTTCGCTTTCCTCTGTAGCATTGGGCACAGATCACAACTGGAGGATTCTCTGCATCTTGGGGTCTTCAAACTATTTGAAGGCTTCAATATCTGAGATATAGGTGAGAGGATTATTCTAGAAGGGGCTGGGTGAGATTCTGTGGCCTGCACTGTGCAGGGGGTCAGACTAGATGATCATAATGGTCCCTTCTGACCTTAAAGTCTATGAGTCTAAAGTCTATAAATGTCGTCAGAGCTGGGTGGCTCTGTATCGACAAATTGTATCGACTACACAATGTGTCAGTTACCCAGCTCTTAACATCCCTATTACAAACAGGAGCGGCCCTAGACAAGCTTCCGGCAATTGGTGCCCTAGGCGAAACGTGCGATCGGCGCACAATCGGTGCCCCCGCCTCCAAAGCCCTCAACGGCCGTTTATCTTGGCGCCGTAGGCGACCGCCTAGTTCGCCTGTATTGACGGGCCGCCACTGATTACAAACCCCTCTCTCTGTCCTCCTCCACACATCCACTCAGACGTGTCCACGCGCACACCTCTTTATAGTCCTATCTGGAAACGCGTCCCCCTGGACTCCTATTAAAGCATCCTGGATGAACATGGCCTCAGCCACTTCTCCCTAGGTCAGCACCCAGGGGAATCGGGCGCAGCAGCAGCAGCAGGTGCAGGTTGGAAAGCTGCTGTTTGTAAGGATACTTTAGACATGCATGGCGGGGTTGGAATGAGCAGGTAGGGCATGTTTCTGGCTGATGCGTGGATGATAACACTGAAAAGCTGTGGGAAATCACCTTGCTGTTGGAGAGGCTTAGATGATGCTTTATTATCTGTATCACTGGAGCATGTAGGAGCTCCGGGCCTGGTAGGTTCTGTCCAAACACAGAACACCTCGTCGGACATCTTGCACAACGCGGGTTCAGTGTTTGCCCACTCTGAAGCGTTCCAAAATCATGTCCCTCCCTCCGCTGAATCCTGAGACTGGTTTCCCAATCGTGTGATCTTTTCTTTCCCTTTGCTTTCAAAGCTGCACGTGCTTCACAATTTCAATCTCCCCAGGAGGGCTGCAAACTTCCTTTAGTTTTGGAAAGAAAGTTAGGTGCCTTACACTGCCTCTCTGGGTACGTCTAAACTACATGGCTCCGTCGACGGAGCCATGTAGATTTGTTTGTTTGGCAAAGGGAAATAAAGCCGCAATTTAAATAATCGCGGCTTCATTTAAATTTACATGGCTGCCACGCTGAGCCGACAAACAGCTGATCAGCTGTTTGTTGGCTCAGCGCGCTAGTCTGGATGCTCCCCTGCCGACATGAAAGCCCTTTATCAACCTCCCCGTTAAACCTCATCCTACGAGGCATAACGGGGAGGTCAATAAAGGGCTTTCAGGTCGGCACGGGAATTAGCTGTTTGTCGGCTCAGCGCGGCAGCCATGTAAATTTAAATGAAGCTGCGATTATTTAAATTGCGGATTCATTTCCCTTTGCCGATCTGTCTAATCTACATGCCGCCGTCGATAGAGGCATGTAGTTTAGACACACCCTCTGTGTCCAGCAGCTGGGAATGAAATAGAAAACCAAATACCGCAGTCGCTAGCAACCCTGATGTGGAATGTCATCCAGTCCTTTCTGCATCCAGCTGGGTATATACAGCTTGGACCCCCAGCCTCACGAGGCAGGATCATACTATTCAATCACCATATTAATGCCCACCTAGTGATCCTCCCTTTGAAAGTGAATCTGGCCCTTCGGCAGAGACTTAGACAAGAGTCCTATTTCTACTCCGACACACATCAGAGACCCAGCTGCAAGGATAACAGAGACGCTCCTGCAGGAGGGGGCTTTGGGGTACTGGTTTTAACCCCACCATGCACAGAAACTCTGACTTAGGCCAGATAGAACTTAAGTTTGACTTAAAGTACAAATTGGCTGGCTAAATTGGAGGAACCCGGATGCCTGGGTTCTTGGCTTAGCTCTGATGCTACGTGTTTGGAGTGCTAGTCTGGGCCGTTAAAAACATGTGTGTGTATCCTTGCACTGGCAGGAGACTTCCAGTGAATTGCCACCTTCTCTCTGTGCCTCAGTTTCCTCCATCTGGAAGATGGCCATAAAGCCTGTTGAGTTTGTCCTCAGTAAGGCTGGTTGAAAACGGGGCGTATTTACTACGGAGAAACTTGAACATTTAACTTGTTCACTTTGCTTGGAAATTTTCCCTGGATTTGTTGACGAAATGAATCCAAATGAAAAATCGGTGGGAAGATTTTAATGGAAAACTTTACGTTTTTATTTTTTCCCTTCTCCTGAGAAAATGGATGTGGGAAAGATGGCGGGGACCTGAAATAAACACGTTTTTGAGGTGAGAACAAAAAAACGTCTGTGATTAGTTTCGGCAACAAATTTTGAATCTTGAAGGAAAAAGTTTGCTTGCTTGGCGGGGAAGTGGGGGGGAGGGGGCGGGAAAGCTTTCAACCAGCTCTTCTTTGCCAAGGGTGCTCTGGGCAGAAGGCAGCTGAAAATGGTGACTAGCTAGAGTGACCCAGGTGCCAATCACCCCATTAACTCCTGGATGCTTATGCCATGGCTGCCCAGGGATTGGTCTGGGGAGCTCCCTAATGAAAAGCATGAGCTGTGATATCTATGGTTTCCCAGCTGCAGGGTACAGACGGGCCACTAACACCCCTTACCCATTGGATTATATTTGGACCTGGGGATAAATTCTACTCAGTGACTATGGCTACGAGAAATAGTATGAGATGGACCCTTGTCGCCAAATCAGTGTGAGCAAAGTTCCAACAGCAGGGCCATCTTAGGGGACACATCTGCCCTCTGGCAGGGTAGCTACGGGCACGTTAATTTCAAACAGAGAGCTCCCAGAGTGTTTCCAGTCGGATCTGCTTAGTGTTAAGCAGTTTCCGCTCTTCAAGTAGAAATCATGATGGGATTTCACTGCAGGGTTCCCCTGGTTCCCCCCTTCTTGCACTGGTCACTTATTGGCACAAACCGGATGCGGGTGCGCATCTACATGGTTGGCGCTGACGTGCGGCATCAGAACTGGCGCGGTGCTGGGGTTCACCGAGAGAAGCTGGAGTCCAAATGGGGCCGTGGATTGACAACGTTCCTCCAATGTGGACAAGTCCAAGGGGGTCCACAGAGCCAGCAGTCAAGGTCGGCTAGTTTGCCCCTCCCCAGACCTGGGTGCAGATCTGGGAGCAGCGCAGGGCACAGACCCTATATCATCCCAGCCAAGAAGGGAGGGAGGAAGAGGCCGATGGTCCCCAGCAAACAGACGATGATAAACATCCAGAGGAATATCCGGTCTATCACCATAGCAACGTACTTCCAGTCCTCCTTCACCTGCAAGCAGACAAGAGTCATGGTGAGGAGTGGGGGGTGGAGGGGACACGAGAGCAGCAGGGGTCACAAGGGCCCAGCAACCTGGAGGAGAGGCTGTTTGTTGTGTTGTGAGAGAAAGGTTGTCTGTGTGGACGTGGCCTGCGGGAGAACTCGGGAGCAGGGGTGGGTAGGAAAGGGGTCTTTCCATCCCATAAGACGTTTGGAGAGTTTGGAATTTTTTTCCATTTCAAATCATGAAAACACGTTGAATAAAATCTCAAAATTTTCCACAAACAAACCAAAAAGCCCCAAAGCAACCCAATTCTGGTTCAGGTCTATTGAAACGTTATTTAAGTAGGGTCTCAAAATGTGCTCTCCCCTGACATCTAGTGGTAAGCTATAGAAGAAGACCAGGAGCTGCCCTTGTTTGCATGGTCACACCCACCTGGCCTAGGCGCATGGCATGCTGGGACTGATTTGCTGAGATGATTGCTCTTGTCTGTGTTGGATCAACAGTCACTTTGTTATTAGGGTAGAGGTATTAATGGGTTGTTATCCTTGTTGTGTGAATCCAGGGCAATAGCTGTGCCTGGCATATCACAACTGAGGGACTCCCCATCAGCTAAACTGCACTTGCTAGGCAGGGGACAGAGGTGCTAAAGCCCAGTGAGTTGAGAGAGAGCGCGAGCGAGCGGGAATAAGGGATAAGTATTTGTACCTAGTGGTGTGGGGTTTGCCCAAAGTCCTAGACCCTGCCACATCCTTTCTCTGTTTATTGTGTTATAACAGTGCTGGTAAAGGCTCCCTTGAAAATCTCTGAGATAAGAAATGGTTCAGGGTGCATTAGCAGTGAGGCTGTATCATCAGTAGCTGATATTGCTGACAGCAGTGTTAAGTGTTGTGACCCCAAGGGAGAGCAGGACAGTGGAGCAGGGTGACTGCAGAGTGAGTCTGGACAGCCAAGTGAGCAAGGGGTGGGAGGTGAGCTTACACAGATGCACCTCTGAGGATAGCATGGCTGCATCTAGACTGGCAAGTTTTTCCACAAGGCTACGTCTACACTGGCATGATTTTCCGGAAATGCTTTTAACGGAAAAGTTTTCCGTTAAAAGCATTTTCAGAAAAGAGCATCTAGATTGGCACGGACGCTTTTCCACAAAATCACTTTTTGCGGAAAAGTGTCCGTGGCCAATCTAGACGCGCTTTTGCGCAAAAAAGCCCCGATCGCCATTTTCGCCATTGGGGCTTTTTTGCACAAAACGGTTCTCAGCTGTCTACACTGGCCGCTTGAATTTCCGCCAGAACACTGATGATCTCATGTAAGATCATCAGTGTTCTTGCGCAAATTCAAAGTGGCCAGTGTAGACAGCTGAGAACCGTTTTGTGCAAAAAAGCCCCAATGGCGAAAATGGCGATCGGGGCTTTTTTGCGCAAAACAGTACTGTGCTGTCTACACTGGCCACTTTGAATTTGCGCAAGAACACTGATGATCTCATGTAAGATTGTCAGTGTTCTTCCGCAAATACACTGATTCTCCTGTTTGGGAAAAAGCCCTCTTGCACAAATGCTTTTGCACAAGAGGGCCAGTGTAGACAGCTGAGAACCGTTTTGTGCAAAAAAGCCCCAATGGCGAAAATGGCGATCGGGGCTTTCTTGTGCAAAACCGCGTCTAGATTGGCACGGACGCTTTTCCGCATTTTTGTGCAAAAGTGTCCATGCCAATCTAGACGCTCTTTTCCACAAATGCTTTTAACGGAAACACTTTTCCTTTAAAAGCATTTGCGGAAAATTATGCCAGTCTAGACGTAGCCCAACTGTTAATGGCAGGATGGGGTGGAGGGAGCAAGAAAGGACCCAGTAAAGGACTTTTTGGTCTGAGAACTCACAAATCTGAGGTAAAAGATGCTGCCCCAAACATTCTGGGCTGGATGTCCTGCTCTGGGGTAAAGATGCTGCCCCACACTCTTGCCTGGGTGTCTTGCTCTGGGGTAAAAGATACTAACAACCTCCCCCATCTTAGGAGAGGCTAAATACCCCACGGATAGAGGGTCTGCAGCATGGGCGGAAGGGAGGCTGTGTGAGAACAGAGCCAGAGCTGAGACAATACTCCCCTCTTAAAGCCACTGTTCGGGGGCAAATAAAACCTGCTCTGAGGGGGTCACCAAACCTTACACCTGCCCAGCTGGCTGGAAATGCCGGAGCAACGACTGAGGCCTGGCAGCATTGGTCTAAACAGGCCACGTGGAGCTTTAATCCAGCGCTGAGAAGACCCAGGCCAGTTGCACCGGGTCCCTCGCTGCAGAGCTGAGCAAGGGCGTCTGTTAATTCAGTCTCTCTGGGCCCACTGATGCCCAACAGGCCCTCACGCCGCGATCCCGTGGCTCTGATCTGCAGCTGTGCGCCGATGCTTGTCTGGACCCCGGTATTCAGGCCTCCGGTGAATAAATTTGGCCTCATTTCATTTGACCAATCAACTGGCTCCTTTACTGCACAGGCCTCTCTTGCCAGCCAATCGCGGGCCTAGGACTACTTGATTACCTCTTCCTAGCTCTCCCCTGATCTCTGGCAATGAGACACCCAGCCAAGAACTCACCGAACAGCCACAAATGACTGGAGGTGATTGTAACGCCGGCGGGGTAGGGGCAATGAGTGGAGCCAAAGCCCCCTTCATCCTGCCTGAGTGCCAGGCCTCCCCCCACCCTGGGCCCCACTGTGATGATAGGAGAAAAGCCAGCCCCTCGTGGTCTATCACTGACTGCCCGCACGCGCCTCACCGAGAAATCAGCGTCCTCGGCTCGCAGGTGGTCAGCGATGTACTGCACCCCCTCCAAGGCCTTCAGGATCCTGGGGCACAGTAGCAGGCCAGGCTCCAACACCAAGCTGTCCTCGTTGGCCGGCGGCCGACGCGCCCGGGCCCCCAGCCCCCTGCCCAGGTGGTGGCTACAGCTGGAGCGGCACTGAACACTGTGTTTGTGGGTGCCTGTCTGGAGGGTCACGTGTCCAGGGTGTCTCCTTTCCTCTTCCTCCTCCTCCTCCTCCTCCCACGTGTCATCGATGTCTGTGCTCGGCCAGCCCCAGGAGGCGCTGAGTCTGATACCCGGCGGGTCGTACTGCCCCGTGGGCTCCTCCCCGGGGGCTAGCCCCGGAGGCCTCCTCATGAAGAGCCAGCGGGGGATGACGTGCAGGAAGACGGAGCGCACCCAGCGGGGCATCTTGTGGGTGCTGGGCGAGCGGTGGTGGACGTTGAGGACGAAGACGGTGATGACGATGGAGAGGGTGACGAAGATCATGGTGAAGAGCAGGTACTCACCGATCAGGGGGATGACCAGCGAGGTGGACGGGATGATCTCGGTGATGAGCAGCAGGAAGACGGTGAGGGAGAGCAGCACGGAGATGCAGAGGGTGATCTTCTCCCCGCAGTCGGAGGGCAGGTAGAAGACCAGCACGGTCAGGCAGGAGATGAGCAGGCAGGGGATGATGAGGTTGATGGTGTAGAAGAGGGGCAGGCGCCGGATGACGAAGTAGTAGGTGATGTCAGGGTAGATCTCCGTGCAGCAGTCGTACTTCTTGGTGTTGTAGGTGCCCACGGCGGTGATAATGGCCCACTCCCCGCTCTCCCAGTAGTCCTTCAGGTCCACGTCGCGCTCCATGCTCTCCAGGTCGATCTTGGCCTTGTCGTACGTCCACGAGCCAAACTTCATCTTACAGTTCTGCTGGTCGAAGGGGAAGAAGGTCACGTCGATGCTGCATGAGCTCTTGTAGATGGCCGGCGGCATCCACTTCACCTTGCCGTTGGAGAAGAGGTGGGCTTTGGTCATGTGAGTCACTGCGAACTCCCCGTCGGCGCTGGAGGACAGAGGAGCAGGGGTCAGAGCTTGGAGAAAGTGGGGGGAAAGGAGAGGCCAGGCCAAACCAACCAGGGGTGGGGGAGAAAGCTTGTGATTAGATTAGCTCTGGGCTTCAAAAGCTCTCCGTATAAGTGCCTGGCCCTGCTACATATCCCCGGTGCAAATCACCCCATCCCATGTCATGAGGGGTATGGCACGGGTGCCATATGACGAGAGATTAAAAAGACGGAGACTATTCAGCTTAGAAAAGAGTAGACTAAGGAGGACTATGATAAAGGTCTATAAAATCAGGACGGGTGTGGAAAAAGTGAATAAGGAAAAGTTATTTACCTGTTCCCATAACATAAGAACTAGAGGTCACCAAATGAAATTAATAGGTAGCAGCTTTAAAACAAACAAAAGGAAGTTTTTCTTCATGCAGAGCACGGTCAACCTGTGGAACTCCTTGCCAGAGGATGTTGTGAAGACCAGGACTTTAACAGGGTTCAAAAAAGAACTAATACATTCATGGAGGATAGGTCCAGCAATACTTATTAGCCAGGATGGGCAGAAATAGCGTCCCTAGCCTCTTGTCTGTCAGACGCTGGGAATGGGTAACAGGAAAGGGATCACGTGACGATTCCCTGTTATGATCCTCCTTGTGGGGCACCTGGTATTGGCCACTGTCGGCAGACAGGACACTGGGCTAGATGGCCCTTTGGTCTGACCCAGTATGGCCACTCTTATGAGGACAGCCATCGCAATGCCCCACTTAGGTATCTTAGCAGTGTCTGACCCTTTGCACCGGGGGGAATTTCACTCCTAACTCTTCTGGGTCTGTTTCCCCATCGGTGAAGTGGGGGGACCGTGTCCTTGGGAAGAGCTCCGATGTGTGATGAAGGGAGACACAGAGGGGCCCAGTGACCCAACGCAGCCCCACGGCAGGAGCCCAGCTTCTGCGGTGACAAGCATGTCTGGCTGGACAGACCTGGCAGAAGTCCATGGGGCTGCCCCAGCGCAGGAGATCAGACCTGGGGGTGGGCTGAGATGTCCCTGCAACCGAGCGCAGCTGGCAGCCATCTGGAACCCCATGGCCAGGCCTGGGTCCCAGAAGGTGAGGAAAATCCAGGCTGTCAAGGCAGCCGGTCATGAAACGACTTGGGGCAGGTTTGAAACCCAGGAACTCATCTCCAGCAGGAGTCCCCCGGTCGCTCCGTGAGGCTTACTAAAGCTGGGTCAAGAATTTCCTTCAGTCACCGAGACACACCAGGAGGTGGCAGCAAGTCACCAGTTGCAACTGGAAGCGGGAGCAGGAACAGGCTGTAGTGAAGCGTGGGGCCCTGCCTGGTGGCAATCGCATGGAGGCCTGGGCTGTAATGCGTGGGAAGGGGATCTGTGGCTCAGGCTACTGGAAACTCCCCTCCTCCCCCCGGGTTCACTCTGGTTCTCTGCTGCCTCACACCTGATTCTGCTCCTAGTTACATTGGTGTAAACCCACTGACTTGAGTGCAGTGACTCCTGATTTGCATCGGTGCAGCCACCAGTGGGATCAGGACCGGGGGTCTCGGTGAGGCCCGGCCTGGAGGTGTCAGGTGTGGCATGGACTGCTGGCAGCCCTGTACTACCCGGCATGACCCCCTGGACTCCCTCTCCACCCCCAAGCTCTGTACCTGGCCAAGCCTGCACAGCGGCGCCACCTACTTGTTGTACAGCACAATGTCAGGGATCCAGATCATCTCGGAGGGCACCCGGATGGAGGTGACGTTATCAAAGTCCGCCGGGTTCCAGCGCAGCTTGTAGTCACTCCATTCCTGGGGGTGGAAAGAACGAGAACGGCTGAGATGGGCCTGCTGCCCAGAGAGAGCTGGGGATCCAGCCTTCCACGGGAGCAGGGCCACCATGGCTGCAAGATGAACAGTGTCCTCCTGCAACAAGCTCACCGTGGGATGTGTAGTGCCAGAAGCATGGGCCCCTCCCACATGGGGCCCTGGGTCATTGCTCAACTTAAAGAGGTTCCTCCTGCACCGATTTCTCTTTTCAAATGAGTCTTCATCGCTAGCAGGCTCACTGACAATGTGCCCATCCCCACGGCGTCTGGGCACCGGGGGGCAATTCAGTGCCGCTGACAGAGCCCAGGCTGCAGTCCAGACAACTGCAGGTCTCTCTGTATAGGTTAGGTAGAGTGGAGGCTGCAGTCCCATCCACATGCTGTAAATTCTGCCCAGGCAGAGCCTCTATCACTGGGGGTCACTCGGTGCCTGTTCCCAGCACCCTGGCCTAAGAAATACCAGCGCATCTGAGCATCCAGTTCTCACATGGGCTGGATTTCAACTGTGTCTGCATGGGCAAAGCCCCCTCTGCCAAGCCCCTGGGACATCGTGGCTCTTGGCACAAACTGATCAGATCAGAAGGCACAAACTGAAATCCAGCAAGTGGGATGGCTACATTATACTTACCAGGCTGGTCTGGACTTCCCTGAACCAAACTCCTAATCCCCAGAGAGTCCCTGGTGACCTGGGAAACCCACCTCTTCCTTCAGCACCCAGCTGGGAAAACATCCCTCACCTGTTTCAGCCAGACGTTTGTGGTCATCATTTGGTTCTTCTCATCCTGTTAGGGGCACGGTGGGGAGGGGAGACAGGAGAGAGGAGGAACGTTTGTTTGATCCTAACAGAGAAAACCAACACCAGACCTGCAACCAGCTGCTTTTTCTGGGCCAGTTCGGTGCAAGACCAGCCTACCCTACCCTTCCCATCCTCCTCCAGGGCCCGGCTACTGGGAGGAACCAGTGCCAGCTATGGAGAGATTTTATCTCCTTTAGCTACATGGCCACTAGGTGGCAACGGCGTGCCATTAGTAATGACAAAGTATGGGCATTACATAAGAACAGCCATATTGGGTCACACCAATGGACCATCTAGCCCAGTATCCTGGCTTCCAACAGTGGCCAATGCCAGGTGCTTCAGAGAGAATAAATAGAACAGGGCAATTATCGACCATTGGCCAGTCCCAGCGTCTGGCAACGAGAGGGTTAGGACACTCAGAGCGTGGGGTTGCCTCCGTGCCCAAACAGCCATTGATGGACCTATCCTCCATGAACTTATCTAGCTCTTTTTTGAACCCCATTATAATTCTGATCTTCACAACATCCCCTGGCAAGGAGTTCCACAGGTTGACTCTGCATTGTGTGATGAAATACGTCCTTTCATTTGCTTTCAAGCTGCTTTCTATTACTTTAATTGGGTGATCCCGTCTTCTTATGTTATGAGAAGTAAAAAACAACACTTATTAACTTTCTCCAAACCACTCATGATGTTACAGTCTTCTGTTATATCCCCCCTTAGTTGTCTCTTTTTCTAAGCTGAAAACTCCCCCTCTTATTAATCTTTCCTCACGTGGAAGCTGTTTCATACCCCCTAAGCATTTTTGTTACCCTCTTCTGAAACTTTTCCACTTCTAATCTTTTTTGAGATGGGGTGACCACATCTGCACACAGTATTCAAGATGTGGGCATTCCACAAATGTATACAGTGGCAACATGATATTTTCTATCTTATTATCTATACCATTCCTATACTGTTTGCTTTTTTGACTGCTGCTGCACATTGAGTGTATGTTTTCAGAAAATTACCAAAAAAACTCCCAAGATCTTTCTTACGTGGTAACAGCTCATTGAGATTCCAGCACTGTGTGTGCACAGTTGGGATTATGTTTTCCAATGTCCATTACTTTGCTTTTGTTAGCAGTGAATTTCAGTTGCCCGATCACCCAGTTTTGGGAGATCCTCTTTGCAGCTTGCTTTCTACTGACCTACAGATTTGGCTGGGGACTTCTTCGGGGCCTGTGTTTTGGAGGGCAGAAAAGATGATCACGGTGACCCTTCTGGCCTGACAACTGTATTAATCTAAATATATGGGAATTGCTTTCTATTCCACCACTGCAACAGCTGAAAAACACTGGACAACAGTGTAGGACAGGAAGTAGAGAAGAATACTGCAGCCAGCTGGAACCACAGGCACAGTTCAGTTAAGTGGAAGATAATGACCCATGTTGCATGCCCAGGGGCTAACAATGTACCATCTCCCATCCTGTCATAATAAGCCATGGTTGGCATGAGATTGTTGAGAACTGAGATCTTGAAGGTGGAATGAATGATACTCAGTAAAACCCATCCCAATGCATTTTATCTCTGTCACCAGGTTCTCTCGAGACTCCTTTTACAGACCAAAGCCAACACTCGGTCCCTTGATGTTAATTGCTGTTACATTTAAAATGTTCATGGTGGCCTGGCTCCGACTTGATCTTGGGTCAGCCAACTTCTGGCTGAGCTCATTTATCTTGGTCTCCCAAAAGCGCTGGAGAGAAATTACAGGCTGAGTAGAGCAGAGGGATTGTTGCAGTGAACAGATCAACAGTCCCTCTAGCTCAGTTTTGTGTCGCCAGCTCTGGCCAATTCTAAAGACTTTGTTATTAGTAAATATTGGTCTGGGTGGTTAATGGTTTGAGCATTGGTCTTCTAAACCCAGGGTTGTGAGTTCAGTCCTTGAGGGGGCTGTTTAGGGAGCTGGGGCGAATCTGTCAGGGATGGTGTTTGGTCCTGCTGTCAGGGCAGGGGACTGGACTCAATGACTTCTCAAGGTCCCTTCCAGCTCTTTGAGATGGTATATCTCCATATATTACATAGAGCAGTGTTCCCCAATTTTTTTGGCCACGGGACCCTTTTAAACTCAAAAGAATTTTGTGGACCCCCTAATAACAGTCATACATATGACATATAACAGGCGCTTTTGCGGAAAAGCGTCTGTGCCAATCTAGATGTTCTTTTCCGAAAATGTTTTTAACGGAAAACTTTTCCGTTAAAAGCATTTCCGGAAAATCATGCCAATCTAGACGTAGCCAAAGAGTTTACACCCAACGTTCTACAGCTGGGAAGGAAGTACAAAGCAGTAAACTGAGTTGCCCAAAGTCACACAGTGGGTCTATGGCAGAGCACGGAAAAGGAACCAGCCCCAAGGCTGAAAGGATAAAAGTTCTTACAGCCCTTACTTATGCAATATACTACCCTGGTGGAGAATTCCTTCCTGACCCCAGCTAGTGATGCACGTGGACCCTGAAACATGAGGGCTGATGCAGCTCTTGCTGAGCGTAAGTTGCCTGCTGTAACTCCAGGTGCTAGTATAAATGCCCCACCCTTCTGTGGAAAGTTTTAGAAGTAGAAATAGAGTCCAGCTTTGCAAACATACCACGTCGATCAGCTGTGCGATGGACAGCCCAAATCTGATGATGACGACATCAGAGATGTTGGAGACTGGCCGGGACCACCTGTTGTAGCTGGTGAACAGGTACTTGAAGAGGCGCTCCTCGGCATGGGTGTGAGTCCGGTCCTGGATGGACACTGTACCAGAGGGAGACAAGAAAAGCCATATGGACATGCTTGTTCACTGTCAGTCAGAACACACTGAGCTCCCTCCCCTAATGAAATATTAATAAAGCCAAAAGCGTTAGCATGACCCTCTCGCTTCCAACAACAAACAGTATTACATGAGGTTCAGGGTTTGGTAGGCAGAGATCTCGACCTGGCAAACACACCATTAAAAACTCTTTAAACTTTTTACAGAAAAGAACCTGAGACACAGTTAAAGCATTTGGAATACGACGTATTAAATGAGGCTTCTGTTTTAACCATATCCCTTGTTCTCTTTAATTGGAGAGAGATTTTAGAAGCAAGCCCACCCCTCGGACAGTCTTTTAGCAGGTGTCTCTGAGGGCAATAACTGCCCCTTTGGGGAACAAAGAAGTTAGTTGAGATGGGCTGGTTTGGCTCCGATTGCTGGTGTTAAAGACGAAGAATCCACTTGCTGGAGGATTGATGCTCTGGCGATCAACTCTCCGGGGTTTGATTAGTAGGTCTAGTAAAGACCTGCTAAATCAAATGCTGAGGGCATCCTGTCAGCACCGGTACTCCTTGCTGTCACGAGGAGTAAGGCAAGTTGACAGGAGTGTTTCTCCCATCAACCTCCCACTGCAGGGGCACCCCAGAAATTCAGGGTAAGTCACATAGCTGGAGTTGCGCATCTTCCATTGATTCCCTCCCGCATAGACCTGGCCAAAGACCTGGCCAGTGTCCCAGAAGACAAAACAAGACAAACATACACAAGAAGGGAAAGAAAAGGGCCGCAAAGAGAGAAACAAGCAGCTTTATAGATACCACTGTGGGATGGGGCAGAGGCTGGAGGCAGGGATGAACTTAGCACTCAGGGTGAGTTGTTCCTTGTTTCCACGTGTTCTCTTGGTATCGCTTTTACCTGCAGAACAAAGCCGGCTTGCACTGGAAGTGCTGTGTGGTGCTTTATGACCGGAGCAATCACACATCTGGGGAGAGAAAGGCAGCCGCTGTCCCTGGGCAGCTGGCCGGGCTGGGAAGGGCACAGAGAAGGCAGGGACAGTGATGTTCCCTCCAATCTTTTCCATCCGAGAAGGCAGGGACCTGTACAGTGATGTTCCCTCCAATCTTTTCCATCCATGTGCGGAATAAATGTGTTATGCACTGAGGCACTGGGGAAAGTCAGGGAGAGCCTGGGAGCTCTGGACGGACCAGCTGCCAGGCTGAGGCCCTGACACAAGGGCCCAAGAGCATACAAGGGGTGCACAGGGGCATGTAGGGGATGAAATAGGCAGCAGGCCCACAACGCTTACCAATGCAGAGTGTGGCCAATGTAGAATGCAGTTTGCCCCTGCAGGGCGGGGCTAGACCTAGGACTACAGTGGGTCCCTGAGATGAGTGGAGGGACTATACATAGCTGGTCCCCTAAAGAGGAGGACTCTAGAGGCAGACATGGCCGCAGGGCAATGCCCAAGGGAAGGAGCACTGTAGTCGGGGAGCGGCACACATCTCAGTGTAGCAGAGGCAAGTAATGGCAGGAGAGATGCCATCAGGAGAGGGCACTCCAGGGCTGGAAAGAGCTAATCCCCAGGACGGCCAGCAGGAGGTGCCACTGCGCTGTACCCAACCTGCTACATAGAGTTATTGATGAAAATATTGACTATACTGGACCCTGTGAGTCCCCACTAGATACACCCTCCCGGTTTGGTAACAAATGTTTTGACAGTTTGCAGAACTCCTTTGGGAGCCTTCAGGACCACACTTGGTACGGGATGGCTCCCTGGGCCCCACACTGGTGGATACATATAACAGCCTACTACAACTGGCAGCTGAAGGAGTCACCCCTAGACTAGCTGCCAGCAACTGGCACCCTCGGCGAACCATGCAATCGGCACCCCCACCTCCAAACCCCTCAACGATATTGAGCCACCATTTGGCGCCCCATTAAACTTGGTGCCCCGGGCGGCCGCCTCGTTCTCCTATCTGGATGGGCCACCCCTACCTATAGGTCAAGGGATGGGCACTCATACCTGGATTGCTAAAGACGCTGCGGCTAAGCCAGCGGGGAAGCTTGTCATAGGTGGCATTTAAACAGTAGCTGTTGATCTTCAAAGCATTTTACAGCGGAGGAAATAGGCTTAGTGAAGATAAAGAGCCTGGCGTAGGCCCAGGTCTCAGGGAGCAACACCGGGAGTGGAACAAAAGGAGCTCCTTTGTCATTCTCCTGATTCACGCAAGCCCCTTACCTGAGGGTAGCAGGATGAAGCACCATGCGACCACGATCCTAAGAGGTGGGAATCCGCTGGCGAACGGCTCCATCTTCGGGGCGGCCAGCACCACTGCTTCCCACCCCCTCCTCTTACGCTGACCCTCCGGAAGGCAGCTGCTTTCATTTGCAAAGCCTTGGCCGGAGGCAAAATCGAGCGGGGAGTGAATCCGGGGGGACGGCGGCAGCGGATGCGAATCGGCAGAGAAGCCAGCGGTGGTATCCCCTGCGTGGGAACAAGTGACACGCCGGTGTCCTCGAGTAAGGAGGTGGGGAGTGCCGGCGGGCGGTCTGGAGGGCTGAAAGTGTGGGTGCTAATCAGAGGGCTGCGGCAGCGGCGCTAGTTCACCTGATGGGATGAGCCACATTCCTTCACAGGAGTTGTCCTCGGGCTGCCGTGTTCCTAGAAACCAGAAAAAACAGACACTGCTGTCAGAGGCCTATCCAGAGGCACCCGGCTCCATCGGGCTGGGCCAGGTGAGGCGGAGCACAGAATGGGCCCTGGAGACCTTGATTTTTCAGCCAGATTTCAGCTCGTTTGATCGGTGCTACTCGCCTGCCTTCAGAGGAGTTACCCTGGCTGCAAACCTGCCCCCGCTCCGTTCAATGAGTCCGCGCTGATTTACCTCAGCTGCGGCGCCAGCCTTTCCTAGTTAAGAGGAGCAGTGTAGTGACCTTTTGGGTCCTTATACCGGGGATTTGTGGCAGTGGGGCTCTAGCACTGCTGGTGAGAGCACATGCTTCCCGAGAGCACCGTCGCTGCAGGAGGCCTCCTGATACCTGCACCCCCAAGCTGCTCTGCTAAATCAGGGGTGCAAAGGCAGCATTGCAGGAATGGATGTAAAGGGCTTTACAGCAGCTCCTGTGGAACTAGATGCAGAGCACAGGTAATTAGCAAAGTCATTGGGGCTCCCACCACGAGCCAGGTCCCTGTATAAGATAACAACCTACTACTGATCCATCTAATGGAGCTAACCATTAGCTCAAATGCTGGGGGACTGCCCGTGTGCGTGAAATTCAATGCTGATAAATGCAAAGCGCAGTGGGAAACACAATCCCAACTATACTTATAAAATGACGGGGCCAAATGAGCTGTTCCCACTCGAGAGAGAGTCACTGTGGGGGATTCTCTGCAAACATCTGCTCAACGTGCAGCGGCAGTCAAAAAACGCAAGCAGAATGTTGGGAAGCATTAAGGAAATGGAACGGTAACAAGACTGAATATATCCTATTGCCTCTGTACAGGGGGGCTGTGTCTAGACTGGCAAGTTTTTCCACAAAATCATCTGATTTTGCGGAAAAACTTGCCAGCTGTCTACACTGGCCGCTTGAATTTCCGCAAAAGCACTGATGATCTCCTGTAAAATCATCAGTGCTTTTCCAGAAATACTATGCTGCTCCCGTTCGGGCAAAAGTCTTTTTCCAAAAGACTTTTGCCCGAAAGGGCCAGTGTAGACAGCATAGTATTGTTTTCCGCAAAAAAGTCCCGATCGCGAAAATGGCGATCGGGGCTTTTTTGCGGAAAAGCGCATCTAGATTGGCCACGGACACTTTTCCGGAAAAGTGCTTTTGCAGAAAAGCATCCTGCCAATCTAGATGTTCTTTTCCGAAAATGCTTTTAACAGAAAACTTTTCCGTTAAAAGCATTTTCGGAAATTCATGCCAGGGTAGACGTAGCCGTTGTGTCTACGCGGCAAAGTTATTCCGGAATAACGGTCGTTATTCCAAAATAACTATGCACGCGTCTACACAGCAATTCCATTACTTTGAAATAATTTTGAAATAGCCGACGGCTTATTCTGACTTCTGTAAGCCTCATTCCATGAAGAATAACGCTATTTCGAAATAAGGCGTGTATGGACACTCCACTTCTGCTACTTCAAAACTAGCCAATTAGCCCATCATAAGAAGGTGTTTTCAGGTCTCTCCTCCACATTGGTCTTCTCTCCTGAGCTTCTGGTCTCTGGCTCTGGCTCCGGCTCCGTCTCTTTCTCTCTCCTCCTCCTACTACTGTCTCCCCTCTCTTTCTCTCAGCTCTCCTCTGCCTCCTGCCTCTCTCTCTGTCTCTCTCTTTCTCTTCTCCTCCCCCCCCTGCCTCTCACTCGGGGGACCGTGGAGCCCAAATGGCCATATGGGCACCGTACTCCCCGTGCTGCATGGGGCGTGTGGAGCCCAAACAGTCACTTGCGCCACTTGCTCCCACGTGACGGCCTGGCTGAGCGGCGCAGAAGTCAGCCGAGTGCCACGGCAGGAGGCGAAGGGGGACAGGGCGGTGACGTTCACGGCCAGGGGGCGGGGCCTGGAGCTGCTGTCATGCCGCACGTCACTGCCCCGCCCCCTTTCGCCTCCCGCTGTGGCGCTCTGCACCGCTCAGCCGGGCCGCTGCGGGGGAGCAAGCGGTGCAAGCGCCCGTTTGGGTCCCGCACTCCCCACGCAGCACAGACCACCTAGAGGGAACAGCCAGCATTTCAGCAACAGCGCCCCCCAGAGGGAACAGCCAGCATTTCAGGCAACAGCACCCCCCAGAGG